ACGAAGCTCAGCAGCAGAGATGTAGCCGTTACCATCCTTGTCAAAGACCTTGAAAGCCTCCTTGATCTCCTCCTCAGAGTCAGTGTCGACCATCTTGCGTGCCATCATTGATAAAAACTCGGGGAAGTCAATTGTGCCATTGCCATCAGCATCCACCTCGTTAACCATGTCCTGAAGGTCTGCTTCGGTGGGGTTCTGGCCCAAAGAGCGCATGACTGTGCCAAGCTCTTTGGTGGTGATGGTGCCATCGCCATCCTTGTCGAAAAGAGAGAAGGCCTCTGTTGATTCGTGAATACGAACAGCAGGCGTATGGCCACAAGGACAGGCAGCAGAGGCGCGTGATTAAAGACAAGCCGAAGAAAAGGGGTTAACACTGGTTCCAAGCATTGCACAGCATCGGCAGAGGCGAAGTTGTCAGCAAGGGAGCCATAGGTGTATGGCCCAAAAGGTCTAAGAGACACACAAAGACTAGTGTTTTGCTGCCTTCTTGTTCACCAGTTCATTCTCTCCGTTCCCCTCACTGCCACTTTCGTGAATTCGTGACGAACGCGTCTCGTTTTACAGGACCTCTGTCTCTCGCCTTCCATTGTCGCTTGCTGGACAAACAAGAGGATGTAACCACGGCGACATTGTTCTTTACCTTTGAACTCGGCCAACTGATTCTCAGTTAATTGATCAGCCATTGTGTATGATGTGATGTTGGTAGTGGGAGTAGGATGGTAGTTGGTGAAAGGAATGGGGAAGGGAAAAAGTATGATGGCCAACAAAATACTCGCGCGGACTAGCTCACAAGCCCCCCATGCCATACGGTGACGTTCATATTTTATTTTATTTTATTATTGGTACAGGGTGGGAGAGGCGACAAAGAACAATCAATCAACGGAACAGACAAAAAATGCAGAAAAGAAAAAAGAAAAAGAAAGACTTTCATCAATGCGTCGTTATCATATGCCGGGGATTTATGCGCGGGCCTGAGCCTTGGCGGCCATCTGGTTCAAGGCAGATCCGTACTTGAACCACTTGATCTGATCCTCGTTGAAAGTGTGGTTGAGCTTGATGTCAAGACCGGAGCCGTCCTCCTTCTTGACATGCAAGTTAAGAGGAACGCCCTCCTTGAAGGTGGTCAAGCCCTGGATGGAGACCTTGTCGAAGGGAGAGATCTTGTCGTAGTCGGCAGGGTTGGCAAAGGTCAAGGGCAAAAGACCCTGCTTCTTACAGTTGGTCTCGTGGATACGAGCGAACGACTTGGTAATGACAGCAGCACCGCCCAAGTGACGGACCTCCAAGGCAGCGTGCTCACGGGAAGAGCCCTCGCCGTAGTTCTCGTCACCAATGACAATCCAAGGCTGGCTCTTGGCCTTGTAATCGCGGGCAACACCAGGAACGGTGTCATACTTGCCGTTGAACATGTTCTTAACGCTGTTGACAGCGTTGTTCTCAGAGTTAAGGGCACCGATCAACATGTTGTTAGAGATGTTGTCCAAATGACCACGGAACTTGAGCCAGGGACCGGCCATGGAGATGTGATCAGTCGTGCACTTGCCCTTGACCTTGATCAAAATGGGAAGGTCCTCCATATCCTTGCCGTCCCACTTCTTGAAGGGCTCCAAAAGCTGGAGACGGTTAGAGGTGGGCGAGACCTGAACATGGACATCGCCCTTCTCCTTAGGGGGAGCCTGGTAGGTTTCCTCACCGGGATCGTAACCGCGGGGGGGAAGTTCATTGCCGTTGGGGGCAGAGAACTTGAAGGGCTTGCCATCAGCACCAATAAGGGTGTCCTTGGTAGGGTCAAAGGTCAAATCACCGGCAAAGGTCATGGCAGTAACAAGTTCAGGCGAGGCGACAAAGGCGTGGGTCTGAGGGTTGGCATCATTACGTCCAGTGAAGTTACGGTTGTAGGAGGTGATGATTGAGTTCTTGGTGCCTTTGGGGACATCCTGACGATCCCATTGGCCAATGCAGGGGCCGCAAGCGTTAGCAAGGACAACACCCCCAGCAGCGTTGAGGGTCTCCATCTGTCCGTCACGCTCAATGGTAGCACGGATCTGCTCAGAACCAGGGGTGATGGTAAAAATCGACTTGGTCTTCAAACCGTGATCCAAAGCCTCCTTGGCGATGGAGGCAGAGCGGGACATATCCTCATAAGAAGAGTTGGTGCAGGAACCGATCAAACCAACCTCAAGCTTGGCGGGCCAGTCATTGGCCTTGACAGCCTCCTTGAACTTGCTGAGAGGAGTGGCAAGGTCAGGAGTGAAGGGGCCGTTGATGTGAGGCTCCAAGGTGTTAAGATCGATCTCAATGACCTGATCATAGTGAGCACCGGCATCTGCCTTCAAGTTGTGCTGGAAGGAATCAGCCCACTCGGCAATGTAAGGACGGGTGGTGGCCTTGAGGTAGTCGGACATACGGTTGTTATAGGGGAAGACGGAGGTGGTGGCACCGATTTCAGCACCCATGTTACAGATGGTAGCCATACCAGTGCAGGAGAGCGAATCAACACCAGATCCGAAATACTCGACAATGGCTCCCGTACCACCCTTAACGGTAAGGATACCAGCAACCTTCAAGATGATATCTTTTGCGGAGGTCCAGCCGGACATCTTTCCGGTAAGCTTGACTCCGATGACCTTAGGGCACTTGAGCTCCCAGGGAATGTCGGCCATAACATCGACAGCATCGGCTCCACCGACACCGATGGCAACCATACCGAGACCACCAGCGTTGGGAGTGTGGGAATCAGTTCCGATCATCAAGCCTCCAGGAAAAGCATAGTTCTCGAGAATGATCTGGTGAATGATACCAGAGCCGGGTCTCCAGAAGCCAAGACCGTACTTGGCGCAGGAAGAGGACAAGAAATCGTAGACCTCCTTGTTAATGTCCTTGGCGCGGGACAAATCCTTGGCGCCTCCGACCTGGGCTTCAATCAAATGGTCGCAGTGGACAGTGGAAGGAACAGCGACGTTGGGAAGACCAGCAGACATGAACTGAAGCAAAGCCATCTGTAAACGATCACATCAAGCAGGGTGAACAAAGGGCGAGAAGGATTAGTTGATCTGTCATTGATTGACAAGTGGGCTCACAGAGAAAAACGCTGTCATATGCCTTTCAGTGCGAGCAGCAAGAGCATGACACATGCGTGCGTACCTGGGCAGTAGCGTCCTGGCAGGCAACGCGATCGGGACGGAGCTTCAGATAGGACTTTCCACGCTCAATATCCTGGTTGTGGGCATCATCCAAATGACCATACACAATCTTCTCGGCAAGGGTCATGGGCTGGTTTAATCTGTTACAAAGTACGGGTCAGATGCCGGTGTTGAGAGTGAAAGAAAACCAAGTTCCAGACAGAGCGACAGAGCGAGGCGATGGAGAGATCAAGAGTGTTCCAAAAGTTTAAGGGGTCGCGCTAGTTAGTTTTAATGCGCCTCGCTTGTTTTCCTGCCCTCCGAATGACATGATGTAAACGCAAACATTGTTCGGAAACTAAGATAGATGCACTTGCCTCTTTCTGACAATAGCCAAGTTATCCTCGATGCGCTGGTAGTTGATGTGTTGGTCCTTCTCGAAGTTGGACATCTGGACCTTGCGAGCAGAACCGGCAGTAGCCTGAGCAAAGGTGCGGATGGGCGCCTTGATGGCAGCAGCCTAAACACAGTGGGCATATCGTGTATCGAAAAACAATGCAAGATTAGTCAATATCGCATACATTCTCTGCACCATAACCGACACGTCCGTTCTTCTCCCAGATGTAACACGGATCTAACTAACAGCCGGCACAGCCGCAAAAAAAGAAGAAAAGGGCGCCAACAGTAATAAGGACAGCGAGCAGCTTACCTTCCAGGTGCGGGAAATAGCTCCGGAAGAAAACATTATGTTTTTGTGTGTCAGACGATTCGATACCAATGAGAAAGGATGAGAGAAAAAGTAGGTGATCGAGGAGAGTGGGTGGAGGAGAGGGGGGAGGGGTTGAATGAGATGAGGGATGGAGAGTGGGGAGAGGAGTGAAGTGGAGAAAGGAGAGAAAGGAGAGAAAGGAAGAAAGGAGTAGTGCAACCAGAAAAAACACGACCATGATAAATGCAGCAGGATCCCTCCGAACTTCGGTGTGTTATGTGAATGTGACGTGGGAGTCAGATGCACGCTCTCAGTTATTTCTCACTCACACCTCGCACTCGCACACCTCCACCTCTCTTTCACCTGCCAGCCTGCCATGCACCGTTTGAGTTGGCCTCCCGACAGCCACACGTTTCCAAGGCCGGCAGGCCCAAATAAGGAGCGTTTTTCGTGGCCCGCTGAGGATTTTTTCATGGCCCATCAAGATTTTTTCATGGCCCATCGTCACAATCAAGCTGATCAACAGCCGGAAATCCCTTCTGCTCACTCAATGTTGCGGCTCTTTTACTCTCTTCGTCTGCTCGTCTTGACTACCAACCTCCTTCGGAGTGGCCCAACAGCCAGCGCGAGAATCCGCATCGATCACGGCACCGAAAGAACGACAGTGATCCTCGCTTGGTTTAACCATATTACTATCTAATGAAACGTTTCTCATACCTCGCGTGCGGATTCTTTTGGGCGAGAGGCAAGAAAGTAACAATAACAGTAACCCATCTTCTCTGTAAGCACATGAAATTGCCTCAACACGCCGAAGTGACAAGCAAATACTCAGAAACCCTCCTCACGTTTCTGGACAGAGCATTGCGGGGACAAACCATATCCAAATTTGTTTTGGGTGCGTCTTCACCTCGGAAAAACGGATCTCGGAGGTCCGCCTTTTCATCCTTGCATGAACGGCGTGATGGGCAAATTGCGCCGGAATTTTTTTTTTTATTTTGGCAGCTAAAAAGACTCGTCGTGTGACATTATTGATTTCTGTCAAAGTAGCTTGCGCAGGTTGTGGAGTTGCGCCTTTTCTCGCCTGTACGGCAGTGAAGCTACAGCTGTCAGTCATTCATGCTTAAACCTCACAAAAAATCACTGACACTTCTCAGCATCGCAAAAATAAATGAAAGTGCCGGGACTCGAACCCGGTTCTCAGGCTTGGAAGGCCGGAATGATACCCATATACTACACTTTCTTGATTAGTTATATACGGAGCTTTTTAGTATATATATATATATCTAGATTTTATGATGCCTATAACCGGATCTTGCAATTATAGAGAGGTTTCTCTAAATGGAAGAAGGGGCCTAATCCACCCAGAGCGCGTCGAAGGACGGGCAAGCCCAGCTCACCACCCATCACCCAGAAAGGAGGAAGATATCAACGCAGCATTCCAGCTCAGAGAGAGGACGAAGGAGGCAGAGTGGTTTGCAAACGAGCG